AATCTTAGTCACAACAAAAATGTGATAGCAGCTAAATTTAACATTGAAACTAAACAAGTTTGTGATTAGTTATCTAAAAAGAACAATTTATAAAGACATAACCTAATTTAAAATGTTTAAATAAAGGTAAACCTTCAAAATATCTTGCTTTAGAAGTAGCTTTAGTTGAGTGGATAAAAGAAAAAAGAAGTAACCAACAGGTAGTTTCATGAAATATGATTCAAGTTAAAGCAAAAATACTAGCATAACAACTACAATAGTAAGCTTCTTATCTTAATGTATAATTTTTTGCTTTTAGTAACAAATGGTTAAATAGTTTGGTGAGTCATAACAATTTGAATAATCATCATAGAACTACTATTGCATAGCATTTGCCTGATAATTTACTTGAAAAGTTATAAAAATTTCTAGCATTTGTTATGTATAGGCGAATATAACATGATTATCCTTTAACATTTATTGGTAATATAGATAAGACTCTAATGATATTTAATTTACCAAGTAATATTACTATTGATAAATTAGAAGCAAAAACTATTAGTATTTATACAACAGGTTATGAAAAAACTAATTTTACAGTAGTTTTAACCTATATGGCAGATGGAATCAAACTTTTTCCTCTTATAATCTTTAAACTTAAAATAATTCTAAAAGGAAATTTTCTATTAGAAGTTATTATTCATACTAATCCAACTGGATGGATGAATAAAAATAAAATGTTATTTTGGATTAAAAATGTTTGAGTTAACTGTACAAGACTTTCTAATTCACAATCATTATTAGTTTTAGATTCATTTTCAACACATATTATTGATTCTGTTAAAAGATGTTTTAATGAAAAGAATACTAATATTATTATTATTCCAGGAGGATTAATATCTCATTTATAACCTTTAGATATTTTAATCAATAAGTTATTTAAAGCAAAGTAAGGTTTATTGATTTTATTGATTATTTATTTTAATTATTTTTATTTTTAATTTTAAATTGTATTATAAATTTATTTCCTATAAATGCAAAAAAATTATAATGATTGGATGTCTGAATCTGTAAGAGAGTTAACATCTGCTGGTAGAATTAAAAGATCATTCTATAAAACTGTTGTAAATTGAGTTAATAGATTATGATATTAGTTTAATTTAATAATTTTTTAAATGCTGTGGTATTTCTAACAAACATGATAGAACAGAAGATGGTTGGATTTTCGATTATGAATGTCTTAACCAAGTGAATCAAATGATGAAGTAGAGATTTTAGATAATGATAATAAAAATGATGAGGGTAATAATATTAATGATAATCATTATAATAAAGAATAGGAAAGAAATTATGATAATGAATGGAATTAGAAAATCATGTAAACTTAATTATAATGATAATCTTGTATAAAATTTACAATGTATTTTTTTAAAATATTATGATTAGTCAAATTGATCGATATAGTTACAGTAAATTTGATCGATATATCAATCAATTTTATTGGTTAATTGATTAGTACCCCTGTATTAATCAAAAATTTACGTTTTGTAATTGATTAATACTTATTACTATTTAAGAAAAATACTCTGCAAGGGGGTATTAATGTTAATGCTATATAGTATTATTAAAAGATAATGCAAAAAGTGAAAAAAAATGAATAAAATACAGTATTAATTTTTTAAAATTAATTCTTGTAAATTATAGTATTATTTTAATTAACACATTTTAAATATGCATGTGATATAGTGAATTAAAATTTAATAATATTTAACACTACTTAATACTAGTGATGTGCATTTTATGCTTCTAATGGTAAAAAATTTGATTGAAAACTTCCAATCCAAATAATTTTATTAATAATTTGTGCTTCAAAACCTTCTAAAGATGCTTTTAAAGGTGCTTTCAATCTTTCAAGTACACATCACTGCTTAACACTATGCATATGATAATCTCCTACGTGATATTTTGTAAAATCTGCTCTAAACTACAATATTTTAATAACCCTTATAATTATCATTTCACTGCTACAATTTTTTACATTATTTTTTAAAATCTGATTTTTTATTATAAATTTTTTTCAAAATTAATTCACATTAAAATACATCATGTTTATCTTTTCAAAAAGGTTTTGACAATTATTATCTAAAATATTGGTTTATATTAAAAACTCCTTTTATCTGACCATAGTGTAAGTCATTTTTCTTGATATTTAAACATAAAAAACTATAAAAAAATTAATAAACCTTAAAAAAGATTTAATATAATTAGTATATAGAACACAGTTTTTTAAAAATCTATGATAATTTGTTAATTTCCATAAATCTGTTAAATCTGCGGGTTTTTGTTTAAAGCAGGAGATCATTGTCTCTAATTATATATTTTTAATATAAAAATTTAATTATATTTAACACTATTTTATTATAATATGTGCATATGATTCTGAATTATATATTTTTAATACAGAAATTTAATTAAAACTTATACTGAATTAAATATATTTAATGTTAACATATGTATATGATTTTGAATTATAATTTTTAACACAGTAATTTAATGTTATTTTATTAGAACATATATAATTAAAAATTTTAAAATTGACATCTCTTAAAAGTTAAAAATATATATGAATCAATAAAAGATACAAAGTATATATTTATTGCTTATATTAAATAGTGCAATATATGCATCACTAATTTTAAATCAATGATAGAAAATCATAATACTACATAAGATTTTATATAATTCTGTAACCTTATGTAGAATTTTATTATAATGTTTCATAATTTATGAGCTCATAACCCTACGTAGGATTTTATCATAATATTTCATAAATCTTACGATACTGTAAACCCTACGTAAGATTTCGACTGTAATATTATATAAAAATATGATTTGTAACCTACATAGAATTTTATTGTAATGTTTCATAAATCTTACGAACTTGTAAACTCATGTAGTTTTACAATATAGTACTCTGAAATATTACAAAAATCATAAATCTACGGAATATTACATCGTATTTAAATTCCAGATAGTAGGAAGAAGTAAATATATCCTATGCAATAATTGATAGTGGATCAGATTCGTTAATAATCTCAGAAAATATTGCAAAGTATTTGGGGCTTAAAATAGATAGAAAGAAAGTTTATGATCTTAATAGAGTTATTAGTAAATCACAATCTTTTAGAATAATTGATAATGTTCTAGTAATTATTGATAATAGAGTAGATAGATCTACTATCTTGGATGAATTTTCAGATTTCGAGTAGGATAGGAACCTTTAGTAAGAGAAAAATTTAGAACAACTAGGAATGAAAAGACTATTATTATTTTTCTATCTATTTATAAATCACAGCATAATATTTTTACTATAGAAAAGGATCTAGAGCTTATAAAAAAACCAGCTGATCAAACATGTCAGTATTGTGAGAAAGAGTTTCAATATTCTTCTATTCTTAAAAGATATCTGAAGTTAAAAAATATGTTTAGTAAGCAGATTAGTCTAGTAAGTGATCAATATTATTAACTAAATATATTAGAAAACAGTATTATAGAATTAATACAAGAATCATTAAGTGAAACATATGAAAAAGCAGTTAAAGATGACAAAGCAATCATTTTATCCAATCTAAATGAACTAGAAATATTAAATGATAATATTGATAAGAAAGAATTAAATATATTTACATTATTTAATTTAGAACTGTTATTATAATTGAATATGTAGTATTTTAAATTTTGAGAATAGAATAAATATAAATAGAAATAATAATAAAATTGATAAAGATTTTGATATAAAGGAGTTGGTTAATAATATCTTATAATAAGCTATAAGCTATAATAAGAATAATAATGTATGAATGATTTTTATTTATATGTAATTAAAAGATGTAGTTAAAATATATAATTAAAATATGTAATTAAAATATGAAATCAAAATATCAATATGATATGATTAAATAAATTATGATTTAAAATTTTATTTATTATTTTGTTTATGTATTCAGATCTGTTTATATGATCAGAAAGGTTTTAAAATCAGATTGTTTATGCAATCAATCATTAAAATACTTATATAAAATACATTATTATGTATAGGGTTCCTCAAAATCAAAATCAAATCAAATATTGAAGCAATTTGAATTTGATTCGATTTTTTTAAAATTGAATTGAATTGAATTGAACTCAAATATTTAATCAAATCAAATTGAATCAAAAAATTTTTTGATTTTTATAATGATATATTAAATCTTTAGAATAACTTTATTTTAATTAAGAGAACCATTAGTAATATGCACTAAAAATTTTTAAAGATAGCTTGCAAATTTTTTTAAAAATTTATTTATAATGAAATAGATCATGATTCAAAACATTTAAATTTATTTTTATAGATTGGTCCCTTATCTTAGTATTTACCTCATATTACCAATGAAATTTTTATTTCCTAAAAAACATATAGGGAGGAGGTACTTAATCACATTATGATTAAACGATGGTCAGAGAATGAAATTTCGCAATTATAAATGATCAATTTGACGTGATCAATTTTAAAGTCACATTGCCCAAATTTGAAATTTCAGTTGGGGCACAATAAATAAAAGCATGATTAGAAGTGTATTGTAATAATAATTTATTATGAATCTTTTTATTTCATTTATTTGGTCAAAAAGAATGAGATTATTATAAAATATTTTTTTTAAAAAAAAACTCATTTTCCGCGTTTTGAATGACACGTGACGCACTTTTGATGATTAATAAGATTATCTATTCATCCATGGAAATTAGGTGATTTTTGTATCACAATCGTTAATATGATTGCGTCAGGATGCATGATTTACTATAAATTCCGCAAATCTTAAAAAAAAAAAAAAAAAAAAAAAAAAAAAATTCTCGCTTCTCTAACTTTTTATTCAAGTGTCCAGATTTCTCATAAAGTTATTTACTTCAATTAATAACCAACAAGCTATCCTTATACAATACCAAAGTCTTTCCTCGCTTTCTATTCCCAACTCGAAATATTCATGGAATGTCATCACTGTGGTCTTCCCGGTCATAAAAAATACGATTGTCCCCACAGCAATTGCCGCTGCAGGTGGGGCGAGAAATTACCCGCCAGACGCCCACCAATTTCACACAGAGGTAGTTTGGAATTACAAGGGCAACATAATGCTGTAAACACACAACGAAACCATGGTTCTACAGGCAAGTATATTCAAAAGTTGGAGGAAATGTATAATTACGAAGGAATAAGAGCATATTTGATTGTATATTTTGAACCAATATTTTTAAAATTTATTGAATTTTATTTTAACTTTTTATCATCTATTTCACGCTTTCAATGACTAATTTGGAGGTATTATGTTTCTTCACTTCTTTAGAGATTAATGGTGGACATCTAAGTTTACCACAACAATATCCTCATAACGTCAATGGTGTTCGATTTAGTCATGTTCAGCAGGGTTCAATGCATTTACAACAAAATATAGCAGGGAATGTGCAACAACATATACCGGGAAATTTACAACAACACGTAAATGGAAATGTGCAACAACATGTAACCGGAACCCTGAATAACGCGAGTATTCCACTTTTTGGGCAGCAATCAAATGGAAATAGTGCGGCAGCAGCACTTTTGGATCCAACATTAGGGCCACTGCTTCAAAGTGCCTTGGAAGCCTGGCCTCTTTTACAACATTTTCCCCAACAGCAACAGACGACGCAACAGATAAATAATACGAACCTTTTTGGATCTCAAGCATCGAATCAGCAAGCTCAGACATTTCTTTTGCAACAAAATGCTCCAAATCTAGGATATGTACAAAACACACAACAGGCTGCTGCGCAATACCTCCAGGCTCAACTGCAGCAATTGTTGAATGCGAGTATCAATAATGTTAATGTTAATAACGCTGTATCACAAGCAGTTTCAACAATAGGCTCACAAGTGCCAATAACGATGACATCTGTGCAGCCTTTTGTGCAACAAATTGTTCCAAGCTGGAACGGGAATCAAGTTAATCAAGTGCAATCACAAATACAAGCAAAGGAGCAAGTACAAGAACCACAACAGCCAGATGTAGTTATGTCAGATGTAGTTATGTCTCGTCAGTCCACAGAGGATATTAATGTGAGTTCACCTAGCTTGATTGTGCCAACCACAACATCTGATCCACCAATAAAGGAAGAAGTAGTATCTGATAACCAAGAGCCTTTAGAACGACAAGAAATGACAGAACGAATAGAAATGCCTCAACAAGAGAAGGAAGAGGCAACAGAGCAGCAGGAGCGAAGACCTGGAGAGACGAACGCCGAAATTATTACGAAACTAAAAGCATTGAGAGACAAGATTAAGAATGGTTTACATCCCAAAATCAAACCCCCGAGATGGGTTCCCTGTAATCAACAAGTAGAAAGACAACACATACAGAACGAAGCGGAGAAAGACCCCACAAAACAATTCAACAATGAAAACGGCAGCAGCAACAGTAACATTAGCAACAAAAACAACAAAAACAACGACAACAATGATAATGACAGACACAAGGAGAATGGTGGTCAGAATTTATTAGGATTAAGCATGCGAGAAAGAAGCCCAGCAATGACGGGCATTGAGCACTGTCCGAATTCATCGATATTTTATAGATCTCGACGGAGCAGATCTCCCTTTAATGCTTATAAATATGAAAAAGAGGGCACAAACTCTGATTACAGGAGATATCGAAACCGAAGTAGATCTGCGAGTCCAAGAAGAAATGTTCGGAATAATTACGTTTTAACAGGGTCAGTATCTCCAAATAGATTTCGTACTCGATCAATAACCGAATACGATGAAAGATATTATGCTCGAAATCCAGGACAAGAATTTCGTGACAAGTACCCACCGCCAATGGCAATGTACGAAGAACTGAGACACGGTAGACATAATGAAAGATACGAACGACCTTTCGGGCGATCAAGATCCCCGATTGGATACCCAGGAAATCGTAGACCAAACAATATTTGGCACGGAGAACCATACGAAAGAGAGAGACCCGGTCATGAATTCCATTACGAGTTTGCGCGCCGACGGCAAACTAGTCGTTGGTAGGTCTTTTTTTTTTTTTTAAAAAAAAAAAATAAAATAAAATAACAAAAAAAAATGAAAAAAATGAAAAGGCAAAAAAAAAAGCCATAATAATAATAATAATTTAAAAAAAAAGAATAATTAATTAATTAATTAATTAATGATAATAATTAAAAAGAAAAAAAAAAAAAAAAAGACAAAATAGTGCTTGTGCGAAGGGCAAACCCTTTATAGTGATTGCGATTATTAAAAGAAAAATGGGCGAAATGATATTCATTTAATGTAAAGGAATTTGGCCACTTTACAAGTGGGAAAGATTGTGAAATCAATGACGAAATTAAAAAAAGTTATGAATATGTAAAAAAAAAGAAAAGAAATCAAAAAAAAAAGAAAAAGATTCTCATATGACGTCGGTTTATGATCAAAAAGTTTTCATATGAATCCCAATTTTGTGGAAAAAATGTGCATGAGAACTTTTTTTTTTCTAAAAAAAAATTTTTTATTAATGTAAGTGCACTTGTTGAAAACCTTTTGCATATATACTAATTAATTCCTTAGTTGTCCATTTTATCATTTATATATAGATACGTGGACATTTGTTAAATAAAGTAAATATAAGCATATGGGCAGTAATTACATTAGATTGTCCATTCATTTGTATATAATAATTATTTGAATCACTTTATTATTAATAAGTATTTCATTTTTATTTAGAACAAAAGTAATTTTTTACAAAATGAATTATATGATGTTTAATCAAGATTCTAAGAGAGATGTTTCTGAACCCTACAACATTGACAATTAATTCAACCAAAGCGCAAATTTTCCTCAGAATCTTAATAATTGAATTGGGCTCGTAAATTAATACGACAAATGATCATGGTTATATCACAAATAAGTATATATATATATATATATAAAAGATAATTAAATTTAACTGATAATAATGTACAAATGAATTAAAATGAATAAAAAATGCAATAATCTAAAAAAGTCCATTTCTTTTGGGTTTTTTTTCATATACAATAATAAATCTATCTATCCCGCCTAATCTTTAAGCTTCTAATAGTTGAAAATCAGTCCAAGGAGTGTAATAATTTTCTGAAGATATACATTGATTGTTGTTATTAACATAACGATCCGTAATTTTAGAAGAAATATTATTTTCCATCACATATTGTTGTTGCATGTCTTGAGATGATACCGATGATAAATCACACCAATCATAAGGGTGATATTGCTGTTGATTTTCAATTATATTTTGGGTTATCTCAGAAAGTGGTTGTGTCAACAATAAGTTTTCACCCAAAGTTGTCATTGAATTCTCAAAAGATTGTCCTACGAAAGAATTAAAAGAATCCGGATTATTCTCAGCGATATTGTTATATAAATAAGAGAAATCGTCCATGATATAATAATGATTTGGTATTTCAAGTTCGGGTGACCAAGTTATGATTGAATTTTCTTGATCATTTATGTATAATTCTCCATTGTCACCTTCATCGCTATAAGTATCGGTCAGTGTTTGTTCAAATGTGCTTTCCGGTGTTAATTGATTGTTGTAATAATAATAACAGAATTCTTGATTAAAACAATTTTCTCCTCCGAACGTGTATGGACCTTCCATTGGAGGTGTAATTAATTGGGAAGAAGGTACGATTAATGTGTTATTATTCTCGATTGAAGATTGTTGGAATTCATTTGTTCCAATGTTTTGATTTTGGTATTCAAGAGACATTTTTTTTTGAAAATTCCTATCAGAAGAAAATTAAGATTAGATTTACTGCGCCATTAAAATAAAAAATTAATCCGCCCTCAATATATGAAAAAATAAATACCTATAAAATTTTTTTTTTTTAAAAAAAAAAGATTTGTGTAAATTTTTTTTATATTTGTTAAATTTTATTTTTTTTGGGATTTGTTCTCCAAAGAAAAAGTAGTAAGTAGTAAATGTCAAAAGCGAAATAAAAAAAATTGGAAGGCAAATTCAACCTCTTTATATAAAAAAAAAATTTCGACCATTTCCTTTACAAATAACGATTCTGGGTTTTTTTGTTGTCAATTACAGTAAGTACAGTAAGTATAAAATAAGTAAATAAATAAAATAAAGTAAATAAATAAAAAAAAATTTATTTGAGTGACACGAACAAATATAAATTTAAACGAAAAATATTCTCTTTAAGGCAGATCAAGTCCCTTTATGGTTGATTGAAAACGGTAAACCTAAACAACAATTTATCCCCTCTTACATTTAATTTCATATTTATATACAATGACGCCTTTTTTATAATATAAAATAAGGTTTGAAATTGTCAATTTTCTATCTATTTTTAGTTGGATTCTATAAATAAAAAATAAAAGGAAAATCTAGAAGGTTTGCCAATAAACAATAAAAAATTTGTATGGTTCCTAAGAATAATTAAATTAAAAAAAAAAATTGAGAAAAAAAAAGTTTTATAATGAATGATAAAAAACCCGGAGACAATGAGCTTATGATTACTCTCCTTTTTTTTTCCTTATTGACGGAGATTGCCTTCCATAAAATAATAAGTTTTTTTTAAAAAAAAAAAAATTTGGCGCCACGTAACTCTAATAGTATCTAACCACGTTATGATGAAAGCTTCTAAAATCCATTGGTAGAATAAAAACAAAATGCATACAATGAGATAATTTAGCATTGAAATCTGCAACCAATTTATTTTATTTATGATAATAAATTTGGTTTTCAAAGGAAAAAAAAACATATTGTTAAGAATTTTTTTTTTTATATAAAGACAATCAAATAAATAAACAAGAAGAAAGAAAATTGCTAAATAAATTCAAAATGCCATGTTAGGTGTTAAGGTAATAAACACGACACGTTACTGATTTAGTACCAATTCACTGGCTGTGCGAGAATGATGCAGTTTCAAATGTGCTATGCATTTAAACTCTAAAACGAACGGCACGAGACGGGCAAAATGAAATTCGGCTTAGGAATTCTAAGAATCTAAGAAACCTCAGCCACATATAATATAAGATGTGGCTGATTTGAATTTGGATCCTTGATACAGATCTTTTCCCCTTCGATCAAAATTCAACAATTCTCCGAACCAATTAGAATGAAATCATCTGATTATTGTTTAACTCAAAAAGAACAAATTTAGACCCTTTTCTTTTTCTTTTGTAGATAAATAGTAAATATTTACTTTTAAAGAAAAAAATACATCCTAATTTTTTGTATTTTTAGTTGTTGCCGCAAAGCTCTGACAGAAAACCATCTTTTTCGGAATGACTAATTCTGGCTACAGATGTGAAGCCCATTTTGTGCTTCCATCAAATAACAGCCACATTTTGCCAAGAATGGATTTCTAAGAATTCGTGTAATCTTAAATCCTACATCATGTATCCAAAACAATAATTTAGAGTAAAATTCCTTTCCGTGATACAATTGCCAAGAAGGGAATGTCAAGTTGTCAAGTTTACTCCATTAATAATGATTATTTGGGCTAACATCACTTTTGAAACAAACAATATTTCCATAAAAGAGATAAATTTGGCTAAGCAACATGTCAACCCGTGCTTTGCATTGACGGATTCCATTTCTTTGTGGCCAAATTATTCAATGATGTTCATCCTAATGGAATTTATGAATGTCATGTACTCCTGTACTCACTGTCGATCAATTTAATAAATCATATGAAACTTTTTTTTTTATTGTCTGAAAACGAACGAAAGTTTGATGCATGCAAAGACCAAGCTGAATCGTGTAACGTATCTTACGGACCATTTAACCCATTTAAAACCGCGATCTTGATTGAATATTTTCCTATTGTTATGTCTTCCCAATTCTTTTATTCTTTTTTTGTTAAAAAAATAAAATTTTATTTGTTCATTCATTTATATGTTAAAGGCACATAAAGTAACGCCTTGGGATCTTTCAAGAATCAATGACACAAACACTTACAGCGGTTAATGATTTCTCCATTCATCAGCGACAGGGTTGGTTAGGGGAATTAGGATTGTCATTTAGGATTAAAGGATAGAAAGGGGTTAGGGGTTAATGTTTGTTAGAGGGGTTGGGGTGGTTATTAGGTTAAATATTAATATTTTTAATTAATTTGGTTGGTAAATAGTTTCGTTGGTTTGATTTTTTGATTTAAACCCTGATCGTAGTGATCTCATAGTATTTAATTTAGAATATGACCTTATGGTAGGTTTCCTAATTTGTGTAGTACAAATCACTTAAAACAAAACAAATCCTTTGAAATTTTAGACAAAACATCTTCCTTTAAAAAATATTTCTTTAAGGAGTGATAAAAAAAATATTACAAAATGACTCCCTTACCTACTATATATATAACTTTATATATATCTTTGCAGTCTACTTTAATTCTATTAACTTTAACATTGATTCTCGTTATTAGCTCTTTATATTTGTTTTTCTTTCAATCAACTAACATCATACCTATTATTCCTGAAGATATCGAAGATAAACATATTCCGGATGAAGTTAAAGAAGTCGGTTTGGTTTCTTTTCTTCGTAAAAAACATCTTAAATATGGATGGATCGTAACGGATTTACCTCTAGTGAATACTATATCTATTATTGATCCTATGGCGATTAAATCAAGTCTTCACGTTGGCGATAGACCTAAAAACCTGTATCAATTTCTCGAACCCATTTTGGGTAAAGATCATTTACAAGTTCTTAATGCTAAAAGTGCAAGTACTTATAGAGAATTGTTCGGACCCTCTTTAGAAGTTGATGGTAGGTTATTTTTTTTTTAAAAAAAAAGATGTCTTCGTGTTAAATCATTATATAAATAGAATTGCATTACGCGTAATTTTTAGCCTTCGCTGGTCAGTATAATGATATCAGAACTCTTGGAGTGGAAATGATCGATAGATGGGAAAAAAACATTGTCTTAAAGCATGAAAATGTGATCAGGATGCAAGATCAAAGTCTAGAATATTCTTTCAAGGCAACCATCAAAGCTTTAACCAGGTAAACGATTTAGCAATTGATTAATCTTATATATATCCTTTGTAAATTAACGTGTTTTCTTATTATTATAATGAAATCACAGTGCCGATTTGCCTCGAAATTTTGATTTGAGAGTTTATAAAAAAGCTTACGAGGATGTTATTGGTGGTTTATTTGACAAGCAATTTGGTGTGATTAGTGAATTACGTAATGAACGAATTCAGAATTCTATAATACATTTGTTTGAGGTTTTGTACTCTTTAATTGATGAAAGGAAGGATGACGTTGATAATATAAATGATAAGAGAAGAAGCGATTTACTTGGTCTGTTGGTTACGGAGAAAGATCCAGAAACCGGTGAAAACTTTAAAGATGGCAAGGTATGTTTAAAAAAATAACGATCAATATCTGTACCGCACCCTTTTATTAAATCGAATATATTTTTTTTTGAAATTCTTTAGATCAGGAGTATGATGTCCATTTTCTTAACTTTTGGATACCTTACTACTGGAGTTGCCATTTCTTGGACCATCTTTTGCATAACACAAGATCGAGATGTCCAAATTAAAATTCAAAATGAGATCGATCGCGTTTTGAAAGGACGACTACCTTCACATAATGGTATGTTACTAACCAAAGGTACACGCTTTTAACAGTCTTCCCCAAGAGTTAACGTAATTGTTTGGTATTACAGACTTGTCGAAACTTGATTACCTTACTCAAGTAATCAAAGAATCGTTGAGATTATATCCACCAACACCATTTTTATCACGTTATCTCACGAAAAGTATGAATCTAAAAACAAATAAGGAATCATTTCATCTCCTTGCGGGCACGACAATACTTTATCCTATAACATCAATTCATGAGGATGAACAACTCTTTAATAATTCAAAAAAGTTTGATCCATCGCGATTTTCATCTGATCAATTTAAGAAAATGGAACCATTAAGTCATTGTCCCTTTGGATTTGGTAAAAGGGTTTGTCCTGCAGAAGAATTAGCTATGGTTGAAATAAAATTAATGTTGTGCCTTATTATGCAAAGGTTTCATGTGGAATTAGCTATGCCATTAAGTAAAGTTGTAGGAAATGAAAAATTCGTTTTAATGGCAAGAAATGACATTTATGTTAGGTTGGTACCAAGGGAAGACATTGAAGAGTGAGGGATTTGTTGGATTTGTTGGAAATTACGCGATCCTTTGTCAATAAAAAGTTTGCAAAGAAATTTGTTGGAAGAATATGTAGAATAAAAACTAGCTTAATCTCAAACATTTAATACAATTATTCAAGGTGAAATTTGAAAATTTATTATTATTAATTAAGAAAATATTCGTTTTTACCTAAACTTGGGTAATTAAGATATTGAGAACGAGAATAAAGGTCCAATCTCGATTTAGACATTAATAATATAATATATATAAAAAAAAAGCGAGATGGCAAAATTAGCAAATGAAATCGTGCTCGAAAAAAAAAATTTTTTAATGTCTAAATTGTCTCAGAGTCTGGTTAAAGAATACTTCACAATAAATCAGAGAAAAGAGCGTGAAATTAAATTTACATCATTGACAATTTTCGTTATATATATATATTTTTTTTCAAATGAAGAATCCACTTATCTTTTTGAATTCTTTGAATTCTTTGAATTCTCAAAAGTAATTATTCATTCACGTCATCTTTAAGGAAAGAATAAATATAAACCATTAATAATTAAAGAACACAATTTCAAAACTCAATTTCTGGATTTTCACGATAAATATTGTGAAATTCACGTATGTACGAAACTTTAGCAATTTTTGTTAGGAACATACCATTATAGTTATTAAATATTTATAATTTATAATTTACCTGTTTAAGCTGTTGATGATTTCCACCCTTTTTTGAATTATTTATCTTCTTTAAAAAAAACAACATTATTATTATAATAATCTAATTTATTAATTTATTTGTTTTTCATTTTATTTACTTGAATTATTATCAACCTGTATAATTTCTTGAAAAAAAGATAAATATATTATTTGAAAAAAAAAAAAATTTATAATTGTTTACAAATCCTATTATAGATATATTTAAAAGTTTATCCAAAAGATTCAGACTGTTGATGGTAAATTCTAATAAACCTTTTTTTAAAAATATTGTTTTAAATATTATGGGAGAAAATATTTATTTCTTTGATAAGTAAAAGCATGCATGAAAATTATTACGTTTCATTACTGGCATTACTGTGTCCATTTTTCAAGCATTGACCATACGATTCGTTTATTTGGTTTCACTACATTTTTCATGATTTCTTATCAACATTCATGAATCAACAAAAAAAACCAAATCACGGAAAATCATGAATATTACTATAAATAGAAATTTATAAATTTTAATTTGTTATTGATTTGTTTTTTTTTTTACACTTTATTTTTTTTCTCAATATACCAATATTTACAACAATAAAAACATCCATCTTCATGAAGATTCACATGAAAACGATGAATTTCCTAAAAGGATCTTGCCAAAACCAGAAGTGCATTTACATGTTCACTGCATTGTTAATTTTTTTTTTATTTCATACTGTATATGGTTGAAATCAAAAGTTTTATGTAAAGTTACGCCCCTCATCTAGATATTGTTCAGGTAAATGGCATTCTCATATGTTAAATTAAACAATGAAGATTAACACATGGATGCGCCTTGACATATTCTTCGTTTTCATTATAATAAAATAATCTTTTACTATAAAATTTTAAATGGAATCAATAACAAATTATTATAAATAAAAAAAAAATATTCAAAACCACTTTAAAAAGTGAAATTTTTTTTTTAAAGAAAAAAAAGATTTGAACTAATTGGTCTAGTTCGAAAATCATCAAAAAAAGAAAAAAAGATCTAAAGAAATATTAAGTTTGGGTATTTTTTTTTTTTGGATTTTTATTTTTTGTCGATCATGTGATTCACGTGATTTAGCCACCTTTTACACTAATTTTACTTTTTTAGCGATTTTTTTAATTAAAAGTTAAAACTTTATTTTTTAGCTAATACTTATATATTTTTTATATTTAAATAATCAAGTTTATAAAATTGCAAAATTTAATATTTAAAAAAAAATTGATATAATATCAATTTGATATGAATATTAATTTAATATTATTACATTTTAATATTAAGTTAAAATTAAAATACTATATTAATTTAATATTAAGATATATTTTCTATAATATTAGTTTATTTAAATAATTTCAATTTTAATCTTTTATAATTTAGTAAAAACAAAATTTTAGCTTATTAAGATTATTAAAAAATTGAATTTTTAATTATTACATGAATAAAGCTATTTCTTAAAAATATATTTTTTAGATTAAATGATTTATAATAATAAATTATATTATATTTATGATTAAAAAGATCTAAAAAATCCTAATTGGTTTTAAATAAATTTACTTATTAAAATAAGTTTAAATCTTTTTAAATTTAAAATATTTTAAAATATTAAATTATATAAATTTTAAATTTTAAATAATTTTTTATATTAAATTAATAAAAAAAAATTATACTAAATATTAAAAGATAATGTATTATATAAAATTTAATTAATAATATATAAATTTTAAAATTTAAAATTTAAAAATTTTTAAAATCTATTAAAACTAATTATAACTTTATCAATCCTAATCATGTTATCTAATATTATTTGTCTTTAAAAAAATAATAGTTATAATATTATAATATTATATAAAAGTTATTAAAATCTTCATAAAATGTTCTAATATAAAAGATAGCTAATAAATTTAATAATAATAATAGAATCCTAAATTAATATAATTGCTAAAACTAAGGTTATTTATCTAAACTCATTTTGGATTTGGTTAAATGTCTAAACTTTTAGTTTGTTAAATTTTTACTAATTATTTAATATAATTCCATTACTTTTATAAACTTTAATATAATTTTACCTTTTTTTGAAATTTTGCAGATTTTTTAATAAGGTTTTAATATAATTTAATAAGTTTTACTTTACCATTTAAAAATTTAGTTAAATCTTAGGATTTTATATAACAATTTTAACTAAAATCTATTTTTATGTTTTCTATAATTATTTCAAGAATTATTGATTTAATTTAATAAAGTTAAAAGATACAAATAAAAAATTTTGATTAAATTAAATATTTGAATAGCAAAATATTAGCGAAAGCTAATTTTTGAATTTTTAAAAAGGTTAATCTGCTAAAACTTGTATTTATAATCTAATTTAAAGATATCTAAAATTCTATACTTTCTTATTTTAAATAACTTCTTATTAATTAGAATAATAATATCAATATTTAAATATTTTAATATAAAATGTAATTTATAAAGCTAATAGATATGTATTTTGACAAGAATTAAAATATAAATTTTATTATAAAAGCATTAATAATACTTCTATTAAAATCAAGTCATAAGATATAATAAATTATATGATCTGTAATATGATTTTATTAAACATAAATAAATAAATTTAATAATAAATAATATATATTCATAAGTAGTAATATATGTGTTGATTTAAATAAATATTTAATAATAAAAATTATTTTATTAAATAATATTTAATATATCATATATTTTATATTAAATAAAATTTAATTAAAAAACTGCTTAAAATAAAGTTAAAATGTATTTTTTAATTTTATATAATATGAAATATATTATAAAAACACCTTTTTGAATTAAAGTAATAAAATAATAAACTATAAATACAAATTAATCTATTTAATATTATATTTAATTAATTTTTAAAAATATTTGTAACTAATACTATACCATTTACAAAATAATATTTATTTAAATAAATTAATTAAATATATAACATTATTTTTAAAATTAATTAAGATTTATTTTATAATATTAATTAATTTATATTTATTATTATTGTTATATAAATTATATAATTAATGTAAGATTTTTATTATAAAAAATGATTGCTAGAAAATCAATTTATTTTATATTTAAGTATGATTTTTAGGTTAAGTTTAGCTTTTATTATTTTTTTTATGATTATTAGCAAATTTTTTTTATTACAAAAATTTTATATTATGTAAATTTTAATACACAAATAATTTATGATTTATTAGATTTTAATTTAAATAATAAGGTTTAGAATTATATTTCAAATTGTTTATAAAAATCTATAATATTTAAAGATTGAAAATAAGATTAACCTAAATATTATTAATGTTAAAATATTTAAATATTACAGTTAGAACTAGAGTTGCTAATAATTATAGTCAAAAGCTTTTAATTAATCAGTTAATCAATAGTATTTTGATTACTATTATATTAAGAATTAATAATTTTACTCAAAATGTTTTTTATTTAATTATTTATATAAGTTAAAATTTTTATAAATAATCAAAATCTGCAATAAAATATAACATGTTTATAAATATACAGTATAACAAGTTATTTACAAGTGTAATGTTAAAATAGTAAAATAAAATAAAAGTTATTATATTTATCTTTTTTAATAAATCATATAATAGTCCAGAGCGAAGCGAAAGACAATATATTTTAATGCACTATAAAAAAAATTTCCGATCACATGTATTTCTCTATTCACATCACGTGACTATCAACCAATAATCATCACAGTTAGTTTTTCATTAAATAAATAAATAAATCAAAATAAACCAAAATGATATACTTTATTAACAATTAGCATAAACAAAAAACAAACCAACAAATGCTAGCTATTTTTTACAAAATAATGAAATTAACCGGTCTTCCTCAACCTTTCTTTCTTGCAATATTTTACATTTTTTTATGCGTTGGAATTTTTCGAAGCTGAAAGGTTTGAATAGAATATCTTCAAGAACGCGAACCCTAAATACTGCTACAAAGAAAAACCAGCAGCAAATTCTTTATTTCTAAAATCTATTCTTACTTTTTCCAACGTAAGGCCCTGACTTTTATGTACCATTATAACCCAGGTTAGACAAATTGGTATTTGTAAACATGAATACGACTTGCCACTTTTACTTTCCCAGGTATATTAGATCGATACTATTGATACAACTTTTATACTGTCTAATGCGTTAATGGTAGGGCCTTCATATTTATCAAATGTGATAAATACTGCTGATGAAAGATAAGGTGATCCTTACTTATCAAAAATAATGTCTCGAATGATCCCTATTGA